GAGAGAGAGAGAGAGAGAGAGAGAGAGAGAGAGAGAGAGAGAGATTTAAAATTAATCTTAAATTAACATTAATAAACTTAAACACTAACCTAAAATCATAATTATTAGTATTGGCTAAGAATTTATAGGTGGGTGCAAAAGAGGGCACAGTTTCACTGAACTCACTAAATGCCCGTCCCTCCCGTTTCACTCGATTTAGCTAAATATGAATCAAAATATTTAATTTAATAATTATTTATTTAACAATCATTTGCCATATACCTGGTCTTTGGCTAAAAGTTGCGCAAAACTACCGGTGCTTATGATAGTGTCGTGAATCTCATCGGCTGTTAAGTCGTCGATACGGAAGTTCAGGTCACCCATCCATAGGACATAACTGATCGGGATATAAAGTAAATATTAACTCAATTTATTAATTTAATTTATTACTCGTCACTCAAAATGTTTTGTTTGCCGATAATATCGTTATAGTTATCTATGCGTTGATCTAAATGCTGGTCGTGTGGAGTCAAATGGGTGTTCACTATACACACCGACACCCCATTCACTATGAATCGGACAGTTAGGGCACCTTTACTGCCCTCCTGGCGCCCGACATTTGTTACGCCAATCTAGAGGTATATAAACAATAGTCTATTAATTAGACATTAATAATGATTTCATTAGTAAATAATTTAAATAGGTACATTTAATAAGTAAACATGCATCAAATTAATTAAAATGCAACTTTTACAATGTACAATTTACATGCATGTGCTTATTAAATGCACTCTAATAACCTGGATCCCATAATAACCTCGACAGATGATAAATGTGATAATGTGTTGCTTTTTATGTACACTAATAATAAAATGCCATTCATTTGGACCCGTTTCAGAAGTACGTACTCGAGTTGCCCGAGCACTTTGGCAAACCCGTTTGCCCAGGTATGTTGTGTGGGTGACTCAGTTATATCTGTTTCAAAGGGCACCTCTTGTAAGCCTATGGCATATATGTCGGCTAATTGGTGCCCATTGGCACCGGTAGTCTCGAGGCCTAATAGTTGGGTTAAGTCCGATTTACATTGCTCATCTTTCACGTTCCACGTAATCATTTGTATACTAAATTTTCGTGGTACCATGGTCAAACATTATACATTTAAGTATATAGCAATTTACTAAATAAATATTACATACCTCAAATCAGACAACATTTTAGCAAGTAGTTTTTGTTTTAGTAATAAATTTGAGAATGGCTTATTTTATTATAATTTTTTGATTATTAACTAATATTAAAATATAAATTAATTAGAAATAATTTGTTACAGCACAAATGTGATATACGGTATTATAAATAAAAATTATTTTGAAATGCCATAAATACATTAGTAAACACGCCTATTACAAACATAGCTCTCAATATACTGTTTATTCAATATGCCATAACAAGGTCATTTATTGACGTATGTATTGTGTTAGTCTATTTCAATAAGATAAAAATATCGTATATTTCTATTTTAGATATTTAATAATGACATTATTAAACATAACAATGACATAGTATATGTAGTGATTACTACTAATTATTAAATATTATTACCGGTATATAATTTACTAATATTTGAAACTATTTATGGGGTTGTAAGATAATTATAGCCAGAAAATATTTTAAAATAGAAAATATTTATGTCAATAATTGACATAAATACAAATTAATATACAAGAGCAATAATAAGCTACAATGAAAGTATTATTTTAAATTATAAATATTTTGGTTATTTTTAAAATTATTTTTTGATGAAGGTTTCTAATTAGTTCAACATTATATTTTAACTATTTAAATTTTATTATGCACGCAATAAAACAATAGTACTAATTAATATAATTTCATTATATGAATAAGGCAGTGCTATAAGGTCATCTTTAGTAATATATGACAGCTGTAAATACAACATTATCATGCAAACTACTATAGTTTTGTATTATTTATAATTATAGTTTTTAATATATATTTATAAAATCAAATTATAAATGCAAATTATACGGTTTATTATCTAGTAATAAAACATTATTGATCTTTTGTAGATATCTATTTAATAATTTATGTATATAAATTATAGTTATTGTTATATTTTAAGATTATTGTATTCAAAAGTTGTTGAATAATCTTGCTTATTCCATATTTATAATAATGATTGAATATTCTAGTAAACCCAGTGAAATGAATCATGATCCGAATAATAATAATAACATTATTCAAAATAAGGAACATCATAAATATGTAATGAAAATTCACTGGCGCAATTTAATTGTACTTGGCGCATTACACATTGCTGGCATAATTGGTTATTGCCAATTAATCAATGGTAAATTAAAATATATTTTACAACTAGCTTATCATCTTATGATTAATTTACTATAATTTAATTTAGATAGCGCAAAAATGAGCACGCTAATATTTAACTGGCTACTGAAAGTGTTAAGTTTTTTCAGCATCGATTGCGGCGCCCATAGGTTATGGTCGCACCGGTCATACAAAGCCAAATGGCAGCTCCGGGTGCTGTTGGCTGTGTTTCAGACACTGACCTTTCAGATGGATATTTATCACTGGGCGCGGGATCATAGGGTACATCACGTGTACTCCGAGACCGATGCCGACCCTCATAATGCCAAACGAGGCTTTTTCTTTGCACATGTAGGTTGGCTACTGTACCAAAGGCACCCGGATGTCACACGACTGGGCACAAAGGTATGTCATTTAGTATAATTTAACTATATCTAAAATATATAATTTATTTTAATTAAAATTCTTTATTATTAATAATTATTAAAAATTAAAATTAAGATATATATAAAATGATCTGGTTTGTTTTCACAAAATATGCTACTTATTATGAATATTAATACCCAGTAGTAATTAATTTAATATATATTAAAGTTATATAATTTCAACATATTTTTAATGAAAGTTTTCAATTGATTAAAAATAGCTAGATATGTCTGACCTGGTTGCTGATTCCATAGTAAATTATCAACGTAAATTTTACTATCCACTACTAATATTAACCTGGCTAGCAATACCAATATCCATACCTGTGTACGCATTCAGTGAGACCTGGCTTAATTCATTTTTGGTGAACTGTTTCCGATTCGCAGTTACCCTACAAACTACATCCCTGGTCAACTCATTGGCCCATATAGGCCCCGGTGGTCGACCGTATGACAAACGATTGAACCCACGTGAGACTAGCGCGGTCAGTTACCTGACATTTGGCGAGGGCTACCATAACTATCATCACGCCTTTCCGGGCGACTACTCGGCCTCTGAGTACGGATGGGGCGACAACTGGAACCCGTCGACCGCCGTTATAGACATGTTTGCCCGCATTGGGTGGGCCTATGACCTCAAGGCTACGCCCGAGTCTGTAGTTAAGGCTAGGATTGAAAGGACTGGTGACTTGGCAGCCAAAAGTCCGAAATTGACCAGGGTATATATGTGCCTTGATGTTGTAATAGGTTTAATGTGTGTCACGTGGTTTGTGTGGCTGGCATATATTTTGAAATATATTTTGTCATATTAAATTTATTAAAACTATTTGTTATTGGGTATTAAACTAACCTGAATGGTTTTATTGTTTAATTTGATCGTAGTTATTTTATATTATATCTTATGAAAATTTATTAATATTTTAACATAAAATTATGTACTAAATAGTAAATACATTAATGAACACCGTATACGATAAATAATTTTATAAATTAATTAGCATTAATACAATTATTAAAAACAACGATAATTGATTTTTAATTACAAACTTTAATTATACAATTAATGCTATGCTTATATTAACCAGGAAGTTTAAATATTTTAATAAATTATTTTGAATAGTAAACAAATTAATTAAAATATATAACTTTATCAATTTTAATTACTGTAGACTTTTAAATAAAAATATTATTTTCCATGATAGTATTGCGTTAAAATGATCATCGACATAATTTAAAATGTACTTATTATTAGCAAATAATTTTGGGCGGCAATCATCAGGTACATCGCAAACTCATAGCTTGTCATCGGAAACAAATGCAGGCAATAGTAACCAATTTTAGGCCCATTGGACAGCCTGTCCATAAAATTCTCAACCTTTAGCCGATGACCCACTGATAGCACCGGTTGTTTTGATAGGTATGCAAACAACAATGGATATGGTTTATGAGCGGTAGATACTATCCAGGTACTCATTACAGTCATACAAAATGGTACAATAAATGCGAATACGACTAGTATGATGGCTACAAATCTGACCAGGGCACTCGTACCTGGTTTAGTCATTAAATAGATGATAAACTCTATGCCTATTGTGGCGATAAAATAGATGGCGCCTAAACAACATCGAAAAAAATAATTACAGTCACGTGTTTGTAACGTCCAATAATTATGCTGGTTTATATATTTCATTAATTGACGTTGATTATTTTTGGAAATGCTTAATGTTATTTTAGATGATATTTCAGAGAATTTATGTTTTATGTAGTAAACCGATGTGTAAAATAGGAGTAGACCCAACCAAATGTATGCAAATATTTGTGTGCATGCTAAAAATAATATGATACTTAATAAAATTATCATCAATAATTGTAATGTGCTTGGATTAATATTGCTTTTTATCCACGATATGTACATGTTACTTAAGGTTATTGTTGAAACTAATATAATCAAGGCGATGTTTGCAAAATATTTATATATAAAATTTATACCCTTGATTAAACCACTTTTATATTTTAAGGATATTGAGTGTTTAAATAAATCATATTTTAGCATGTACATAAATGTATTAACTGGCAATGTTTTTGTTAATTCCTGTTGCATGGTAAAATAGCCAATATAAGTACCACATAGCATTAAAACTGATATTGCTAGGTAGATTAATTGCTTATCGCCAGTAAACTCGCAAATATCAATGAGATAATACATAACCGAGCTAGTTTTATCATTAGAATAATGCGCTAATAATCCAAACCTTATTGATGTCAAAAGCATACATAACCTCAATATCAATGCAATTATAAGTCGTCGTGAGCTCCGGTACCCCAACACGTAGTCATCCAAAGTAGATATTACTGTACAATACGTTTTGCTCATAAATGATTCAATTTGTGATATTGCAGTAATCATGTCCTGTCTCATAATCATGACTCTTGTTATATTTCTCTGGTGTTTTTTATGTGAAACATTCATTTTAAATTTTAAATGTTACTTGATACAACAGTAAATTTTAAATGCACCTTTAATAATTAATAAATCAAATTACCAATATTTAAATTTCAGTCTTAATTCATTATTTATTACTTTGTATACTTAATTTTAAACAAATTGTAAGGTATAATAGGTTAGTAATAAATTATTATGTTAATATTTTTATTAGCATTTTATATTATTCTACTTGCACCATTAGACTATTAGTAGGTCTCTAGTAAAAGTAAACAAGATAATAAAAATTATATATTGTTTTGAGTATTGTATTACATGAATATGTAAATAAGAAATTTTAAGAATTTTTAAACTAGTATAATTTTAATGGAATAATTTGAAATCTAATTATATTTAAACGTGAGTGATCATAATCTAGATATTATGATTATCATAGAATAATATTATTATTAACAATAAATATAATCTACTAATATAAATTTTTATTTTCTAGAAATATAATATAAATATTTTTTATTTTTGAATTCTAATAAAATATCAAATAAATATTTTAATTAAAAATATGCTATGAATGAATGTCGTATATTATAATATTTTAACTTATATAATATTATTAATGAAAAATAATATAATATAATATAAACTACATATTATAATTTACATAAAAATATGATTAATACATTTAAAGAAAATGATCTACTAAAATATTTTTCTAGGAATCTAGTAAATAAATGTATTTTAAATTGTTCATTTATAGATATATTTGATAGATAGTTGTATAAGGTCGTTTAATTTAAAAATGTTTATCCATGAGTTAATTATAATAATTGAATTAATATAAACTTCTAATTAGTAAAAATACATTTTTAAAAATATATTATATAAAATTAAAATAATTTTAAAAATTAAAAAATCCTCAATAACGTTAAAATAATAATTATTATTTTAATTAAACACAATTAAAATTTTTAAATATAATGTAAAATTAATAACTATTTTGACATTAAGGAAATTTCAAACACTTAATTTACATTGATATTGCCCAGATTATATTATATAATACTAACTGTCCATAGTTTTAAACATATAAGTTGGAACTAAGCTTAAGCGAAGGTATAACTAAGATTGAATTTAAGTTTATTTTAATTCTTAAGTTCATCTTGAGTTTTAGATACGGGGAGTATTATAAGATAGCATTTTTGTTTGCCTATTCAAATCAATGTGAAAGCCAACTTTAAAGGGATAAGTCAACCCCTATGTAGACTTGAGATTTTGTCAATCCCAGTGCTAAGTCGAGTTGCAACTTGGTTAAGTTAGTTTTA